AGGCTAGAGAATAATATAATGAAAAATTGCCTTTTATATTAAAAGCGAATAGATGTATTTTATGTCTGCTTATATAGTATATAGGAATTTCTGGAAGGATACACAAGAATGTATTAACTGCATTGACTTTTTTCATTGTATACCCTTTTTACTATTTTAATTCTTTATCATTTATGAGCTGTCAATTAAAAAAAAAACTTAAAATTGCTCGATAAATTATGATGAGCTTGTTAAACATTAGTGACAGCACTGTGATTAGGTCCCAAAAGAGTGGAAGAAACACAGTAAGTGCTATGATTTCCTGGGAGGACATGGACATGCGCAGAGTCGTCAGCGAGGACACAAAGATGAATATGCTTTTCCTAAATGCAGTGGGCAATCCAGCCAGAGTGGGTGGGGGACGTTCTGTCAGCTGAGTTGCGGGGTGGGACAGCCCAGGGTGTTTTGAATGACCAAGCTGACTGGTCTGAGGAAGGTCCTAGAGACGAGTGCCTGGGGGTGACACTACAAAGGTAAAGTGGGGCCCTGTGGTGGTTGGGCATAAGAGACCGACTAGGATGTTTAGGTTTTGTTCTGAGGATAATGGGGAGCAGCCATGGAACATTCTGAGCAGAGAAGTGCCAGGTGGAAAAGAGGATGTAGGAAGATTAACCAGGCACCTTAGATGGAATGCCAGTTAGACTGGGAAGGAGAGACAGGAAGGAAGGCAGGACACAGTAATCCACAGTCAGGTTCACACTCGGCAATGGGAATGGAAGGTTGAGTTGATTCTAGAAACTCGCAAAGGAAGAATAAACAGATAATTGCATCCGGAGGGTGGAGAAGGAGAAGAACAGAAGGTGACTGTTAGTGAATTGTGTTCCCCCAGAATATGTGTTGTAAATCCTAACCCCTCTACCTGTGGAGGAGCCCTAGTGGTGCAGTGGTTAAAGCGCTCAGCCACGAAATGAAAGGTCGGCAGTTCGAACCCACCAGCAGCTCCGCAAGAGAAAGATGTGGCGGTCTGCTTCTGTAACACTTTACAGCCTTGGAAACCCTATGGGGAAGTTCTACTCTGTCCTACAAGGTTGCTGTGAGTTAGAATTCTCCAAAAAGGCTAATTACTTTGAACGAATGTGGTGGTTGGGGGTGAGGCAGTAAGGTGGGGCACAGCATGTTCTTCCAGAACCAAGAGTAGCAAATGAACTAGGAGGTTCCATCTGACCAAAGAACACCAGCAAACACCCAGGGACCTATGAGTGCAGACACAGTCATTTCCAAGAAGGAAGTGAAATGGGCCATGGCTCTTGTCTGACAAGTATGATGGACAACGGACATGGAAGGACATTCCCAGGTGGAGGTAGCGTACACATTTTGGGCTGACTTTGATCTCCGGCTGCTCAGAACAGATTTCTTGCTCTGTCTTGACAGTTCCAAACACTCGTCCCTTTGGGGAAGCTAAGACAGCTCAATAAGCAAATATCATCAGGTTTTGTCATTAAAGGAAAAACTATTTTAGTAAAGTTGACTGGCATGGGGGAGGAGGGAAATAATGGCTGGAGTGAAGATGGAAGAAATAAATGACAAAAATGTCCACTTGCACTGGGAGACAAGCTTTTACTAAAGGACTTGAATATTTTGCTTAAAGGCAAGTCCTCCAAACAAAATGGAGCATGTCTTCAACTTACCGAGAATGAGAAGTAGAGCCTGTGCAGCTGAGGAAAGGGGTCCTAAAATGCAGAGCTGAGTCTGGCTTCTGCTCCAGGAGCCAGTGAGAGTAACGTGGAAGAGTGAGAGCCGAGCAGGACACCAGGCAAACGGTTGTTTCCCTGCCTTCTTCTCCAGGTTTCCCTATTCCAGTTGCTGATGAGTCAATTCCAACTCATAGTGACCCCATGTGTGTCAGGGTAGAACTGTGATCCATAGGGTTTCTAATGACTAATTTTTTAGAAGTAGATCACCAGGCCTTTCTTCCTAGGCACCTTTGGGTGAACTTGAACCTCTAACCTTTCTGTTAGCAACTGAGCACATTAACCGTTTGTACCATCCAAGGACTCCAAGATTTCCTATAATTGCTGCCTTTTAGGGGCTATCTTAGTCATGTAGTGCTGCTGTAACAGAAATGCTACAAGTGGATGGCTTTGACAAACAAAGTTTATTCTCTCACAGTCTAGTAGGCTACAAGTCCAAATTCAGGGCCTGAGCTCCAGGGGAAGGCCTTGCTCTCTGTCAGCTCTAAAGGAAGGTCCTTGTCATCAATCTTCCCCTGTACTAGGAGCTTCTCCTCTTAGGAACCCCAGGTCCAAAGGACACACTCTGCTCCTGGCGCTGCTTTCTTGGTGGTATGAGGTCCCCATGTCTCTCTGCTCGCTTCTGTCTTTATATCTCAAAAGAGTTTGGCTTAAGACACTGGCTAATCTTGTAGATCTCATCAATGTAACTGCCGCTAATCCATCTCATTAACATCATAGTGATAGGATTTACAACACCTAGGGAAATCACATCAGACGACAATACTGGGAATCATGACCTAGCCAAGTTGACAGATTTTTTGGGGGGACACAATTCAATCCATAACAGGTGCTTATGATCTGAGATAAACCCTCACTGGGGTGAGTCAAAGGAGGTGAATCACAGGTGTCCTCTCCAGCTGGCCCCGTCCACGCCTAAACACCCCTTCCAGCCTGGGCTCTGTTCCGCCTCTCTCCTCTCCCCAGTCAGTGATCCTCGCTTGTTCACTGAACTCTTGCACATCGCTTCATGCCTATTGTCATTGTCTTCTGAAAAGTCCTAACATGCAATGTGTCACAGCTGAACTCACCTCCTTACCCACAATGTCTTCATCACTCTGAAATGTCCCCCACAGTCACTTCACACCCCCATCATCCCTCCTTGCTTCTACTCCCAAAAGTCACTGCAGCAAAGACCTCACTCCTGATTTTATGCCGCAGCACAGGCGCATGCCATTCCTCGTGCCCAAACCATCCTTCAGCCTTTCCTCCTTTCAGTCACGTTTCCCTTCCTTCCTCTTTCAAACTTCCCCATTCTAACCAACTGGGTGCACTTTATCGCCATCTGGTTCCAGCCTTCCCTTTTTATTAGCTGTCTAGGATTTATGGCCATCTCTGATAGATGTGTGGCCGCTTAATAGGAACAGAACATGTGTCTTCTATGGTTCATCTGGGTTTCGTTAGAGGCATTTTCTCTGGCTCATAAAGTTAACGTGGTCAGATCCACGTCTTCCACCACTGCTACTGCTCTGTTCCTGCGGACAGCTCAGAGAGCTTTGTTCTCTTCACTCTTTTCCTGGCTCTCCCCCAGATCAAACTTCATCTCTTCCCTCCAGCTTTCCCTCCCGCTGTCTGTCCTCAAGCATGTCTCTGTACCCTCGCAGCACTTCACACATACCCAACAAACAGCACAGCTTTGCGTCTAGCCACATGTGACCCTGTGTCCATATTTATTTATGTTTTTACATATTTATGCATCCTTGTTTCTCCCACCAGACTCCTTGAGTCTAGTTAGCCCCCACCCAAGCACAAGACCTGGAATACGGAGTGAGTGGATGTTGAGAGACCCAGTAAGAGGTAGGGCCTCTGAATCCCACACCGGACGCAGTAGGTGTCAGTCCACCACTAGTAGTGGTGGTGTTATGGATTGAATCGTGTCCCCCAAAAATGTGTTAAATCCTAACCTCTATACTTTAGGTTCTAATCCCATTTGGGGATGGATTTTCTTTGTTCTATTAATGAGGCAGTATTAGTGTAGGGTGTGTCTTACAATCAGTCTCTTTTGGGATACACCCTCGAAGGTAGTCCTCAGCTTATGACGAGGTGGTAAGTTGGTTCTGACCCAAGTCAAATAGCACTTTCTTTTTTTAGTTTGCATTATTATTGCCTTTTATTATCAACATCTTTATAAATACAGTCTTTGAACATCTGCCTGTGAACATCTGAGGATGATAACATCAGCAGATTACGCTCTGCAACATTGTATGTAGTACACATTACAAAAAAAGAAGACGTTCGTAAGTGTGGTGTGTCGTAACTCGTGTAAGTCCTAAATTGGAGACTGCTTGTATAAAAGAGGTTAAACAAGCAAGGAAGCAAGCAAAGATGAGGAAAGAGAGATGTCAAGCCACGTGAAGATCGCCTAGGAGCAGAAGCTCAAAAGAGCAGACAGACAGAGAAAGCCTTCCTTTAGAGCCAGCACCCTGAATTCAGACTTCTAGCCCCCTAAACTATGAGAAAATAAATGTTCATTAAACCCAGTCATTTGTGGTATTTTCTGTTATAGCAGCACTAGATAACTAAGACAGGTGGGGAATCAGACAACTCCTGAGGCTCTCTGTAACTCAGCTTTTTATCCTTACAATGGAGATGTTGTCTGCTTTGCTTGGGAAAACCCAAAAATATGAAACGGTGAATGTGCTTGGCTACTAGCCAAAAGATTAGTGGTTCGAGTCCACCCAGAGGTGCCTCAGAAGAAAGGCCTGGCAATCTACTTCTAAAAAATCAGCCATTGAAAACCCTGTGGAGCACAGTTCTACTCTGACACATATGGGGTCACTATAAGTTGGAACTGATTAGACAGCAGGTGGTTTTTGGTTTAGCAGCAGAATGACCCTAGTTTCAAAACTGTCGCCATCACATAATAGCAATGTGATCTTTAACTTTCTTCACTTCTCTAGACTCATTATCCCTACGTAAAAAAAAAGGGTGTTAAACTACACTAGCAGTGCTCTCATGCAGTTTATTTTGGGAGACCAATTAACAAGACAATTGAAAGCGGTAAGTTTAACGAAGGCATGAAACAGGGCACGTGGTTCCTGCAGTCTGGGTGCCTGACGTGACGCGATACCACTCAGTAGGGCGAACAGACTTTCACCCCTCGCCACCTCGGAAGCCCCCACGGCTGCCTCAGGGCAGGAAGGCGGAGACTAAGGCCCCGCCCCGGCGCCGACGTAAGATGACGCTGCCAGACGTCGCCAGCCAATCGCAGGCGGCCCCGATCGGAGGCATCGCGGTGGCCCACGGCCTGCGGGTGGCGCTGTGGCCCGTCGAGCGGCCGCACGGAGCCGCCATAGCTGTTCTCCTCCCCCGGCCCAACGTCTCCGCCGCTGGCTCCGCGCCGCCGTCATGGCCGACGTGGAAGACGGCGAGGATTCCGGCGTCCTCTCCTCTCACTCCGGGAGCGCAGGCTCCAAGGCGGGGGGCGACAAAATGTTCTCCCTCAAGAAGTGGAACGCGGTGGCCATGTGGAGCTGGGACGTGGAGTGCGATACGTGCGCCATCTGCAGGGTCCAGGTGATGGGTAAGCGCTGCACGCGAGACCTGGGCCGCGCTGCGGCCTCTGCGGGCCGGCTCCGGGAGGCGGCAGGGCGGGTGGGGGTGCCCGAGGCCTCGGAAAGACCCCTGCTGGCGTGGGCGGGGGTCGCCCTGCCCCGGCGCGGTGGGACCGGGACCACGCCCCTGCGGCCGCTGGTCTGAGGATTGTGGCCGCCGCCTCTGGGGCCGTCGGGTCGTTCCGCAGGCGCCCAGCGCCGGGGGTGGGGTTGGGAGCTCGCTTGTATTCTAGTGAGGGAGAGCGGCAGTAAGCGAGCAGAACAATAAACAAAAGTAATGTCAGGTGGTTATTGTTGGTTGCAGTGGAGTCCGTTCGGACTCATGGCGACCCAATTTGTGCAGAGTAGACCTGCTCCATAGGGTTTTCAAGGCTGTGACCTTTTGGAAGCAGATCACCAGGTCTTTCTTCCAAGGCGCCTCTATGTGGGTTTGAACCGCCAAACTTTAGGGGTGTAGTCGAGGACCAGGAAAATAAAATTGGGTGACTTAATGGGAGCTGGGAGGAACCACCTCGGTTTGTGTGCCCAGCCCCAGTCCCATCTCTAAAAACAAAACCAGAAAGGGGTCAGGGTAAAGGCCCTGATTCAGGAGAACGTGGATGCTTTTGGTCACACACCAAAGTGATGCTCTAGAGTCGTTTTCCACAGATGCAACGCCCTCAGTCTTGCTCTCGAGAAGCTCAGAAAAGAGAAGTGTTCGCAGACATTGCATTTCCGGATTAGTGCTAGTCAGATGGCACTCGTTTGGCATGAAGGGAATCCAGTGTAGTTCAAGAATATTTAAGTTTCATGGGAATTGGGGAATGTAAGTCAACCATTCAGGGACAATGCTTCTACTCCATATAAATGCATTTGGGCTTGAGAGATAAAACTTGACCTCTGTCCTACATTTCGCGCCCCTGCCCCCTCAACATAGATGTCATTTCCGAGACATGTTGCCCAGCTCTGAGTCATGCCTTTTTGAAGAATCCTCTTTCACAAGTATGTTTCACCTCTTTCTATGATATTTTCAGTAAAAAATATTGGACCAAGGGAAACATTGCTGAACAGCTTAACCCAGTTTTATTTTATATGGTTTCAGTTTAAGATCTCAGACCATCTTGAAACAAAGGTGCTGTTTAAATGCAAGTTATGTTTGTAAATAGGGCATTTAAAATTACTATCATAGCACCTTAAATGTTTCTTCAGGGTAGGTGGGCAAATCTGAAATTTGTATGGTTTGAAAACTGGCTTGTCCTGAAAATAAGAGAATTGGAGAAAATAAAGAAAATTTATTTTCCTTTTAAAAAAAAAAAGTAGTACATGGTTATATTTAATACATAAGTTTTGCACAGCCAAACACCACAGTGAAATAAATGAGGAAAAAGTATATTTCATTTGCAGTGCATGACAATGAAAAGGTAAACATACTTAATGGTAAATGAGCTCTTAGAAAAAGAAACCTACCAGAATCAGGAGGGTTCTCAATTTATGCTCTCTTTAGTATGCTTGCCTTTGTTTTTTATTCATAAGGGCTTGTTTCAAAGAGAATTTACAACAGGAATCATAATGTTATTTGTTACTTTTGAAAAAACTTGATTTTAGACATGATCCACTTACTTACATGTTAGATTTAAAAGTATCTAGCTTGTTTGCTTGGAACACCCCCTCCCCCCCACATACACCGTAAGAACTAGAATCACAATTTCCAGTTGGGGTGACATTTTTAACTGATCCAAGCAACTTGAGCATCTCATATTTTGCAGGACAAGCTTTGCTAAAAATTTTATCCTGTAAGTTTCCTCTAGTATAAAAATAATTTATCTCTGAAAAAGCTATTCTGTCCCAGAAGAAATTTTTAAAAATAGTAAATGGAAGTGGAAAAACCTAAAATAATCAAACTGCAACAAGTACATTTTACTGATCTATTTATAGTAGGTCAAAGTATGGGTTATAAATGGCTCAAGTTCATCATTAACTTTCTAATTATAGCAAGTATTCTGCTACTGCAGGATTAATGTAGCAGATTTATAACAGCTGTACTTTGGGTTCAGGAAAGCATCGTAGACTGGAGCTTTGTATTTTGTTTATGAGGTGTTAATATCCACTTAGTGGACAGGTGACCCCAGAAAGAAGTTTTAAAGACTTCCCAATCCTTACCCCAGAGTCATACTAAAAAGTGTTGCTGTTACTGTACTCCTTAGAAATTTGCTGCTTTAGATATTAAAAATAGTAAAGGACCTTTTTTCTTTTATCTGAAACTTGAGGAATTTTTGTTGCTTTTGATTAATTTTTTATAATGAATCTAAACCAAAGCTATAAGCATAATCCAAAGATTTTTAGTTTGTGCAGCAAGAGCCCACTTAATCCCATTTTTTTAATATTTGGAATTTATCTCAGACACCTAAATGATGTATTTTTGATTTCTTGCTCCAGGATTTGCCTTCAGTCCTCTGTGACTTGGGTAACAGTCTCTTCCTTGGTTTCCACTCTACTCCCTTCTTCCTGAGAGGAGCAGATGGCACAGTGAGCAACTGCTGATGAGGGAGAGGAATAAGTTTGCCGAACAGCTATGTTAACGAAGAGCTGCAGTAACCCTTCACGGCAGTGTGTTAGTTTAGACATTTGGCTTTACCTGTTGAAGTCTTATTTTCCTAACTTGTGAAAGAAGCAGTTGGGATCACCAGAGTTTCCCTCTATAGTTGTAAAATTCTCCAGTTCTGTGATAGCACAGAACCAGAGGCAGACAGAGGTAGCATTTCATTGCTCTTTGTCACAATCCTTGTGCTTGTCTGCCTCCCCATTTGCTGGTGAGCTCCGTGAGACCAGGGGCCAAGTCATGGGCATTTTGGTGTCCCCGGTGTATAACTCCTTTCACAGGATAGATGGTCAGTAATCGTGGAATTGAAGAGACCCTCCCGAGGCGGTGGTTGTTTTGAATCCACACTGAAGAGGCCAGGGTGCTGATCTTTTTTTAAGGGTAAGAGCATGTGGAGAGGAGCAAACAAATTGTTTACCTGAGCATAATCCAGTGTAAGAAGAGAAGCAGGTTTCAACTCCATCGTGTGTCTATTTTTACAGAATTATTTTTCTCCTATTTATGTTAAAAACTACTTTTTTCTGTTGGTTTCAACTTTCTTTTACAACCCTTCGATTCTTCTTCTAGCCAGTGACAGTCCATTTCATTGGTTCCTAAAATACAGAATATTACCTTCTTCGTCAGCAAATTGTACCCTAGATTGATTCTTTTTAATTTTATTTTGTTGTTGTTGAGAATATACACAGCAAAACATACACCAGTTCAACGGTTTCTACATGTACACTTCAGTGACATTGACTACATTCTTCGAGTTGTGCAGCCATTCTCACCCTCCTTTTCTGAGTTGTTCCTCTCCCATTAACATAAACTCACTGCCCCCTAAGGTTTCTATCTAATCTTTCGTGTTGCTGTTGTCACTTTGACCCCATATAGATCTTAAAAGAGCAGACATTCTTTACTAGTTAAGTTAAACTGTTGTTTGGTTTTAAGATGTCAGGGGATATTTTTGGTTTAAGGTTTAAAGATTATCTCAGGGCAGTAGTTTCAGGGGTTCATCCAACCCCCTTGGCTCCAGAAAGTCTGGATTCCATTAGAATTTGAAATTGTGCCCTCCATTTGCCCCCTTTTGATCAGGATTCTTCTGTAGACTCTTTGACCAAAATGTTCAGTAATGATAGCCAGGCACCATCCAGTTCTTCTGGTCTCATGGCAAACGAGGCAGTTAGTTGTTCATGGAGGCAATTAGCCACACATTCCCCTATAGGTTCCCATTTCTAATATTTACTTTGCCATTGTCGGGTAGATGCTTTGGGTTCAGGCTTATCTGTAAAGAGAGCATTTTCTTTAAAAGCAAATGAAGAGAACTTTTATTGAGTACCTAGTATTATTATCTCTTAATTTATCTAATAAAATTCTCACAGATTTGTATCATCCCCACTTAGTATATGAACACTTCATGGTATTACCCCCATTTTACAGATGAGGGAATTGAGGTTCATTGAGCTTCATAACTGGTCCAGGGCCATGCATCTGAAAAGTGGCTGTGAGATGGGATTTGACTTCACATCTACCTGGCTCCAAAACCCTTCCTTTCCTGTCTAAACCTCACTGCTTTTTCACCAGTCTTATTTAGATGATCACCAGCATTAACCAGTTGGAAGCATACAGGGTATGAAGTTTATTTCAAAGGAACATGCAAGTGTCTTTGGAAAGAAAATAAGTTACTTTTTATGAGTAGCTGAAGGGAAACTTCTGTACCTAAATATAAATGACTCAAGAAAATTTGCTTATGGAGAAAGCAGGAAAAAAATTTAATTCAAAAATTTTAAGTATAATTAAAATAATTACATAGGTTAATACGGTCACATAGTTTAAAAATGTAAAAAGGTGCCCAGTGAAAACTCCATTTCATCCTCTCCCAGATCAACTTTATTGTTTGTTTCTTATGTATCCTGTAGAGTTCCTTTATGCCTGTGTGAGCAAATACAAATGTATATATACATGGAGATCTTGAAAGTAAACTGCCCCTAAGGTTGCTCTACGTGGGCATGCCCCATGAGCTTAGAGTAACTTCCTAGGGCAGAGCGTGGCATATTTGTCTCTAGTGGTTGCGTCCACTGTCAGGGCATCTTTTCATCAGAACCTGTAAAAACAGAGGCTCCGTAACCCTTGTGAAATTGTTCCTGGTCGTTAGTAGTTTGTAAGTGCCTTGTATTTTATTCCTCTTTAAGTAGTTATATTCAAATGAGAAATTAATTCTATGAGTCTTATCTTCATCTCTAACCCTTAGGGCTTTTATTTGACTTTGAAGTGTCTGGGTTTTAAAATTTGCCTTCTGAGCATCAGAATGAGAATTGTTATCTGTTTACTTTTAGATGCCTGTCTCAGATGTCAAGCTGAAAACAAACAAGAGGACTGTGTTGGTATGCTGTAATTTCTTTCTCTTGCTTTTTCAACTCAAGGTTTTCTCAGTGGGGATGTTTGAATTTGCAGTTTAGATTGACTTTATCAATACACAAAAATAAACTGTAAAGCAGTGATCCATTATTAATATAAAATGTGTTGGTTCTCAAAAGGCCTTACTGGAATGAATCTGTAAATCATTTTATTGCCTGTAATTAAGAAGAATTGGTTATATATTCCAGGCAAGCATGGTCATAGTAAACATTTTGGTAATCAAAAAAGAAATTCTTCTATTACAAAGAGTATAAGGAATTTGCCAAAACACCATTGAATTTTGGCTATGTTATAGGTCAGTTTGAGTAGGCTTTTCTTCTTATAAAACATTTCAGTTTTCAGTACCCTTTTATGGATATAGTATTTAATTTTTCAGCTAAAGTAGAAAAAATCTTAAGTCTCAAGTATTTTATTTGGAACGTGGTTTGTGTATAGAAATCTATTAAATGTTCCTTATAGTCTGAGACTACAAAAGTTGTCTTAGCCTGACTTGAAGTGTCCTAGTCCTTGAGGTGATCACTTCTAGATTGTCATTAAGAGTTTAAAGGTTTCCCTAGAATGAAAGGTTAACTTTGTATTTTGTGTTTGCATCGTTTACACACAGCTTCTTAATAATGATTTATGCAGTTTTGAACAGATTCTGTTTCTTCCTCCTTAAACACTTAGAGTGTTTCCCCCTTGCTTCCTACCCCTTTACCCTTGGTCCTTGTCATACAGCTCAGTTGGTCAAGCAAGTGGCAAAGCCCACGTTTGAGATTGTATTCCAGATTGTGAGTGACTTCCCTTGGTTTTAAATTTTTCTTTTATGCTGTTGGTTTAAACATATTAATTTGGGAATTATGAGGGGTAGAGCAGCTTTCTTTGATCAGAGACCTCTCTCTACAGCCAGCCACTTTGAAAACTTCATTCTGTTTGTCCCATGAGGAATTGTGCTGTTTGTGGATGACTTAACACAATTCATCACCACTCCTACAAAACAGCTGAGTAGATGTACAGCTGATTTAGGAACACATCATCTAGCTATAATAGCCTACTATGAAAGGGAAACGTTTAAAACTCATTATATCTTGGTAAATGAAAGTTGGGAGGACATTTTCTAATGAAATAAAGCCTCAAAGGACTCCAAGATGAGTGCATGACTGAGAAGGCCTGGGATCTAAGGAAGACTCAAGTCCTTTGAGCCCCTAACTTCAGGAAGAGACAGCGTGTGGGGCTATGTAAGATGTAGGAACTGAGGGCCACCACATCACCCACAGATTCTTGAACAGTAATGGAAAGTCTCCCAAACACAGTGACTTACCTTATGACATAGTGTAACTTCTGCATGTAAGTTTCTATTTATTGCTTTGTAAGTAGAAGAAATTCTTTTGGCCATCTCAGTAGTGAAATAGTAGAAAGCTGATAACATTATTCATAAAATTCATAATAGAAAATAACAGCTATAATGTTGAGCTCAATATTGAATTGAATTATGTAATGTTGAATACTCTTTTTCTTTCTTTCAGTGGTCTGGGGAGAATGTAATCATTCCTTCCACAACTGCTGCATGTCCCTGTGGGTGAAACAGAACAATCGCTGCCCCCTCTGCCAGCAGGACTGGGTAGTCCAGAGAATCGGCAAATGAGAGTGGAAGAAGGCTGTCTTAGTGCAGTTGTTCGGAGCCCTGGTGGATCGTGTTATCAAGTGCCCTCCAAAGTCTTCAGCATTCCAGGGGCTTAATTCTTCAACTAGGAGGAGAAGGATCTGTGGGCCTTTGGTACTCATCAAAGGCATGGTTTAGGCTTTTGTCAGTTTTATTTTCAGAAACTTTCTACAATTAAGAAGATAATTTATTAAAGATAGTCTTTCCTACCTCTGTGGTGTGCATCACACACACTGCTTAGAAGTGCTATAGAAGAGGAGAGAACTACAAATTGAATGACCTTGATAATTTACCCGTTGATACCCAAGGGACTGTGGAAGCAGTTCCGTTCAAAGGAGAACTTTTTGCGTGCTTATGGTTGATCAGTTAAAGAAAAGAGAGAGAGGGCAACGTGTACTAACTGTTAAATGAGAAACTATTTTATTCTGTAAGCCTTCATTTAAAGTGAGAATAGCAGCACAATTGGAAGAGCGTAGTCGATGTCACTGAACTGTGCATGTAGAAATTTTTGAAATGGTGTATCTTTGGCTATGTATATTTTCACCAAAAAAAAGGTCGAGAAGGGAGAGGG